TACGACAATATTAACTATAATATATATTTATGCAGATAGTATACATGTGTCACTCAAGGTAAATATGTCGGTTTTAATATGTTAACATTATTGCAAATTATGTATATATAACATAGAAGTACCTATATGCAGTGGCGTAACTATACCGTTCGAGGCCCGTGGCAAATTCATCGGATGGGCCCCTCCCCCCAATACAAAAAAAATGAACCAACAATAATAATATTTTTTTATTTTATAATACTTATTTATACACTTTTACTTGCAAGAGTACAATAATAAATCACTTAAGTAGGTACATACAAACTTTATAATTATACTTTGGTACTTGATTTTCTAATAATTCACTTTAAAATTAATATACCTAATTATAACCCTGGGTTTTTCAAAAGTAACGTGAATAGGCATCTTCTGGGTAAGCTCGCTCCATCGTAGGCCACATCATACCTTAGACATGATTGTGGTCAAGAGCAAGCCCATTTCAAATAATAAAAAAAAAGTACAGTCAGCATCTTATTGATATAGACACATAGAGTAGTCAAAATGATTTGAACAACAAAAAAAGCAATTTGATATACGCAGTCCGAATAATCATATTGTTAAAAGCGCACAAGTTGTTCAAAATATAAAATGTTAATTATTAAAATTCCTTCCTTCGGACTTTCTGTTCAGCAAAGGTGGTAATGATATCATCAAAGTTCAAATTTCGGGCCATAGAATTTTCGATGGATAGAATACTCGTAGCTAAGTTGCTTAACCTGTCTTGTCCCATAGAATTTCTTAAATAAGTTTTTATCAATTTCAGTTTTGAAAACGATCGCTCGGCACTAGCCGTAGTCACAGGAATGGTGAGAAATAATAGAGATGCAGTGCACACTTCAGGAAAGCTTGAAGATATAAAATGATTTTTTATTATTAATAAGTCAGCAAGTTCTCTTATAGAAGATGATGTTTCTATTTCGTGTCTAAAAGAGGATCGAAAACTGAGAATTTCTTTGCAAAACGAGATGGATATATCTTCTTTATATAGATGGACAAATGCTAAAGCCTTCTCCAACAAATCAGTATCGTTCAAATTTTGTAAAGTGGCAGGTTGCAAGACACTGAAATTGGAAACAATTTCATTCATTCCAAGGAAACGCGATCTCAGTTGATTAATGATTATGTCTAATACATGATAGAATACGTTCACGTTAAACAAGCTTTCAGGATCTTGGAGACGTTCATCCTCACAAATTTCATCAAAATGACGTTTCACTTTTCTCTGATGAGTTTTAGGAAATTCAGGGTTTATAGACCATTTCGTTGCAATACTATTTGCCTCCATTTTTAAATCTTCAAATTCGTTTCGATACTTTTCAAGTTGTTCTAGACAAAACTTTTTTTACTAAACATGTATGATAATTAATAAATGCTGGGAGTTGGGGTTCTCCTCTGACCGGGGGCCCCTTCCGGCTGGGGGCCCGTGGCATTTTGCCGATTTGCCACCCTGTAGTTACGCCACTGCCTATATGTTTCAATAATGTATACTTACATATGTATATAGCGAAACCATTTTGTTTGTTTTTGTTGAACATTAAATCTTATCACACATTAAAATTAAAACGCAAAAGAATCTAACTATATCTCAGATATGAGATTGGAAATCTCTTAACATTTTTGTTGTTCTAGAAATTTCTTTTAGATTTATCTTCCTTTTAAGTATTTCTTTTAAATATATGACTGGCATTTACTGATATCGACAAAGTTATAAATATTTTCATACTACCTATCTTTTATATTTCTTTTTAACCATACAGGCATAATGTTATTTATGGATATTATTTTTGTTGCTACGCTCCGTTACTTTCCTTGGGAATATCTAGTTTTAAGAGGAAAAATTATAAGCTTCTGTTTTCTAAAAGAATCTTATGGAAAATATGTATTAGGAATGCTTAATTTTAGGTGCATTATAAAAATATTTAGGTATATTGTGTTATTGTTTAGTGAGCTGTTATTTATTATAATAAAAAAATTATATGAGCTAGTAATGATGGTGATTTACCGCCACGTGATGTCATATAATTATGTTCAAGTCTTTGTTTGAATTTCACAGCTTATATTTTACTAAAGTTTAGTAGAAGTCTAAATATTATTTGGATGATTTTCGTACGTTATTGTGTGGCCTTGCGTGTTTCATGCAATCGTTAATAATGAATAATTTAACGTTAGTATTAGAAAATGTAACAAAGTAGAGATAAAATGTGTTCAAATTATAATTATTTCTTCAATTATATTTGACTTATTTCATTAGATTTTATTTTTAATTTTATGTTTAAAGTAGTTCGAAATGTAGATTTAAAATTTTTAAGCCATAATGATTAGCAACTGAAGACGGAATAAGTAATTAATAGTATTCATCCAAATATTAGACAAAAACATAACTACATTAAGTGGTTGAGGCTATAATTAAAAAACATTCTTTATAATACATACGTTCAATGTAAAATCTTAAAGACAGGATATTTTTTTCTTTGATCTGTATCACGCTGCACTAAATGCAAGTTTACCTTCTATATTATGTGAAAGGACAGTCTTTGTACAAATACGTCACAGAGTGCAATGACCGGACTTTGGACTTAAACTTACTGAGACAAACACAGTTCATTGTTGCCCTCGAACACTTGATAGTTTTATCCATAATCATATTAAAATATCAGTATTCTATAATTAAAATTGTTATATCCATATTATTAATACTTAATACTATATATTTTTATATATGTATATTTTTAATGAAAGTGGTTATTAAGTGTCTCAACTATAGCATAATTTCGATTGTGTCGATGCGAACGACCTTGCAATTAATAATTAAAATTAATTCCAGATTAAAATCAACTTTTGCAATGCTATCTTTTTTTTAATTATTGCAGATAAAAGTTGGTAAACAAAATTTTATCATAGCTAATTAGTTTGTCATATTTTAGAAAATATCTAAATTCTTTCTAAGCAAACTCTTTGGAATATTTATAAATAATATTATTTGAAAACAGTATGCATTCCTATCACACGGAATTAGTAGTCCTTAGTGGTATAAAAAACTATTCATTATAAACATTTATACATTACTATTATATATCGCAGACAATCTGCGAAGCAAACGAAACTAACAATATTGAACACCTATATGAAGTCTAGATATTTTTGTGACGCAAACCATAAATAATGCAATCAGAGTTTTGTGGGTGTGTGCGCTTATTATGCCATTAAATTCAATCGTCACACTATCCATCATGATATAAAGATAAGCAGTGATATTTAGTTAAGTTGGTTTATTTAGCATCGTCAAGGTTCCGCGCGCCGCACACACCCACCGACCGTTTGCAACAACAAACCTACGATCATTCTGTGTTTGACAAGGAAGTAGACTTCACGTCGTTGCGTGAGCGATCGTAAATAAAATCGGACGTCAAAAACATTATTGATTTTCTTTTCTAATATAAAATACAATTAAAATGTACTCCGTAGCCGAGGCCACGTTAGCTTTCGTTGTGTTATATCTATTTTCATTTATTTTCGAAGTAGTAACAGGCTTAGTGTCGTAAGCCATACCTAGTGTTTAACAAAAATGTGATATTTTTATTATTTATAATTAAGTTAGGATTAAGTTAATAAGTCAAAATATCAATGCAATTAGGTTAATAATATATTTAGTCGTAATTAAATAACTTCCATGCCACAGCAAAATCATCATTAATTATTCGGTGAGTATTATAATTATATAAATAATAATTATTTCCTGTATCCTATAAACGTAATAATTATTATATATTTATTGTAAATATCTGTTGTTAGTATAAAATTTACATGTGGTTTTAAATTATCGTAATTATTTATGTGGTTTCAATAGGCTTTACATGTACGGTTTCCCATGGAGAATATTTTTGTATTGTGTTGTTAGGAATAATAGAGAATTCTTATTTAAAGGATAAGTTTAGTATTTAATGTATATTAGAATTACGTGTTTATCGAGGGAAGTATTAAATCCATACCCACCATTTAATTTATTTTGTTTGTTTATTCCTATAAAACTTTACGCACTAAAAAACAGTCGGAATAGCTTAAGGTTTCAACGTTTGAAACACCTTAAATAAAATAAATAACAAAGTTTAAAACTAACAAGTCACATACACATACTGTGTGTACTAGCATTAATTATTAAAAATATAAAATCCACCTAAAGAATGACTGTTCTTTGATAAGATATGATAATGATATTTTTTTCATCTTGATTTTTTTTTATTTACAGTTATAAGACGCTAGTTGAGCCATTAATACTTCTTTTCCTTTGTATTTTAATGCAATAATTATTTTCTTATCTATATCAAAATTATTTTAATCCTATTTATATTTAAACAATGAAACCTTCATTTGAACAGCTTTTATAAAACATTTTGGATTCAAGGTTTTTTTTTAATATTAGTTGTTGTTGAATTAAAGTATAAGGTTAAATCTTGAATAATGAATGAATGAAAGTCGAGAATGTAAAATTTAAAATATGTAAACTTTTTTATTTGCACCTTGACATTGATACATTTTTAGGTAATTTCGTAATTTAAATTTAGAATCATAACATTCCCTGTTGTCTATCTGTCAAGCGTTGTAGGTTTGGATTTTTTGTTTTAGTAAAGCGAGAATAATCTTCGATTACAGTAGTTAGGTTTGAAAAACATATTGCACCGCAAAAAGGAAACCTTTTCTTATAAATGTGAATAATACATGTCAGTTAAAATTTTGAATTAAAACGGCTTACTATTTCGAAAGTATGTGAAATTGTTTATATTTAGAATAATCTTAACATTGCATATTTAAGTATTTTTAGCTGTATTTTTGAACGTTTCTTTATTTTGAGTACTGACATTTGACAGCACTGATGTCAAAGTCAGTACTCACTTCATTTGTCAAAACTCAGAACACAAAATAAATGATACGAAAAGGTTGTTTTAAAACTGTGGATTACTAAGATGAAATATATTATTGTTTCGAAAAACTTGTTAAAGAAATATAATCAAATATGTGTTCGTACTGTAACCACGGCTACGACAAGGAAATGGCAAAGTGTAGTTGGTTTAGAAGTGCACGCTCAGTTAAATACTAAATCGAAACTTTTTTCGGGTGCTGAAAATACATTTGGTGGCTTGGTGAATAATTGTGTGTCTCTATTCGATGCTGCCATTCCCGGTACGCTACCGGTTCTTAATAGAAAGTGTGTAGAATTAGGAATATTGACGGCATTAGCTCTCTCTTGTAAAGTAAATGAAGTTTCGACTTTTGACCGTAAACACTATTTTTACGCGGACTTGCCTAGTGGTTATCAGATTACACAACAAAGAGCCCCATTAGCCAGTGATGGTATTATAAATTTTCAGGTATTAGTGTATTTTATTTCAAAACAATTATTGCACTAGAACTTACCCTTGGAAATTATTCCCAATAACGTAAACAAACCTCAAAAAAAAAAAACATTTAAATATTAATTGAATTACATATATTGTTTCAGGTATTCACACCAGGCATTCACAAGAAACCTTACAACAAAAGTTCAAGAATAAAACAGATTCAGTTAGAACAGGACAGTGGCAAGTCCCTTCATGACTCGGAGTTAAAGAGGAGTCTCGTTGACCTTAACCGAGCCGGTGCACCGCTTATTGAACTTGTTTTCGAACCAGACTTGGAGGTAATTGTTAAACACCATTTGTATATCTCTTAACATTATTTGCAAATAATCTTAGATTTCTGCTTCTATAGTCCTTATACTGCTTTAATATTACCGCTGATTATGTTTAATAATAATGGTAAATGATATTAATATTGAATATTATTTCAGGATGGCGAAGAAGCAGCGGCTCTTGTAAAGGAGTTAGTTTTAATAGTCCAACGTTTAGGAGCTTGTTCTGGTCGCATGGAAGAAGGAGCGTTGAGAGTAGACGCTAATGTGTCTCTAAGACGATTTGGTGATCCACTTTCAACACGCACAGAGGTAATTATTATATATTATTCTATGAATAATAATATTGGAATTAACATTAAATATTGCCTGTATATATACAATAAGCCATAAAGGTTGAAATTTTTACCATCCATTAACTAATTTAAGTAATCATTAGATAATTATTATTTAATTGAAATTATAATATTCTATATCATTAAACACATTTAAGTACGTATACATATATTTATAGCACAATAATTTTTCATTGCTATATAATTGTGAATATATTAGTATAAAATGATATTTTAATATGTGTTGTTTCTAGTAATCAAATAGTTTGCAGTCTTATTCAATTTAAATGTGAAATTTTCAGATAAAAAACATTGGGTCAGTCCGAGGTGTTGCTGGGGCTGTTCATCATGAGATTGAACGACAGAGATCTATATTGGAGAATGGCGGAAAGATTATTAATGAAACCCGAGCTTGGGATGCCACAGCCAAAGTCACTATACCAATGAGGGATAAAGAAGTTGTTCAAGATTATAGGTATATATACATATTTATACATATTTTAAGGCCGGCAACGCACTCTGGTGCCTTCTGGCTCGAGTGTCCATGGGCGGCGGTGATCATATGTCATCGGATTGCTAGCCTGCTCGGTTGCCCCCTATATTATAAAAAAAAAAAAAAAAAAAAATATCTTAGTAATAAATAAAATAAATGTATAGATTTCTTTCCTATGAACATTCTTCTATATATGGATACAGTTTTTTAGGTCATGGTTATAATTATCCATTGTTGATTGTAACCTGTGGCTTATAATTGTATATTTTTTCTTTAAAAGAAAATATAGGAAAAGTATGTTATTAACTTATTATGAGTCATGTTGTGTTTTAATGTAAATAAGAAGTTTGTCATCACTGAATTTAATAGAAGAACTTACAAAAACTTTGCTGTTGTGGTAAAGCATGAACCAAGTAAACAGAGGTATAATTTTTTTTTGCAGATATATGCCAGAGCCAAACCTACCTCCATTAAGGGTGAATCTCGACACGAAAGAAGATACCCAAGACATTATAAGTGTGCCATCAATAAAAGACAGAATACCCGAGCTCCCAGAACAATCTAGAACAAAATTAATCAACAAATTTAATTTAAAACCAGAAATAGCAATACAACTTGTCAATGAGCCCGTGTTACTCAATTACTTTGAAAATGTCATAGAAAACAGTGATAGGAATCCAATCAAATTGGCCAATCTGTTGCTGAATGAACTTTTGACTGTATTAAATAAATGCAAAATTGATGTCGAGAACTGTCCAATAACAGTTAAACATTTATCAGATTTAGTTGATTTGTTTTTAATTAATAGAGTGAATTTGGATGTTTGCCGTAGAACTTTTGAATGTCTTGTAAAGGACTCCAGTTTAAATGTAGAAGAGGTCATAAAACAAAATGGCTGGTTCTTAATATCGGATGAAACGGACATCACTAATAAATGTTTAGAAATCATAGAAAATAATCCGAAATTAGTTAAACAGTATAGGGATGGAAAAATAAAAGTATTTAAAGCATTATTGGGACTACTAGCTAAGGACACTAACAATAAACTTGATATGTCACTGGCATCAAAGAAAATGGAAGAATTATTAAAAAAAGAATAAAATATTCAAATGTATTTTTATTTATTATCTGTTGACCATTTAAATCTTTAAATTAAATTTTTACATTACTAAAAAAATATTGAAAAGATAAGGATTCTATTCATTGAAATATATACATGTAATATCATTACATTCAGATATGCAAAAAAATGTAAGTTGTAGTGTCTTAAATTTTGCCGTAAAAATAATTTATCTTCGAAAAAATCAATTAATCGGTATGATTGTCGGCCTAAGTAGACTTTGACCGATATTAGTGTAGTTACAGATTAACAATCTTTATAATTGTTCATATTTTTATTTATTAATTCGGCTGTATGACTTTGGACCTTGACCTATTCTTACTAAATATTCAATCACAGATCTTGACAGGAAAGTACAACTATGGCCTCTGTTCTAATGGCTCGTTTATATAGCAGCATAAACGAGAGTTGTTAACTAAGAGGCTGTTTTAATGTTTCGTAATTTTGAGGTCACTTTTACATAATATATTGCAATTATAATATACAGGGTGACTGGTGAATTACTATCGATACTTGAGGACGTGATATTTGACGATCATATATGACAAAATAAAAATTAATATAACATAAATATTAATAAACTTCTAAGTAAAATTAACCAAAAGTTATGTAATTAATTACGCATCGTGTGAATACCCTACAGATTAGGTATACACATACACACACACGCGCGCGTGCGGCGGCGTAGTGTTGTATCAGCACGCCGCCGCACGCGTCCACACTTGGAACGCGTTCACACTTTATTTATTTATACGGAAATTTGGTCAAAAATTAAGTACCTATTTTTTTACATAATTCGAATGAGAATCGTGTACCGAGTATTCTCCTTAAATATTGATAGTAATTCACCAGTCACTCTGTATGTCATAATATATAAATGGTTTATTGTACATTTTCTTACGACATAAATAAATCATTTATTTGTTTAATGTGAAATATTTTGATAAGTTGTTCAGTTTCTTTCTAATGCTTTACACAATGATATTTCAGTTACGCCTTATCAGTAAAAAATAAATGATAGCTCCTAATATATTCGTAATATAGTTTAGGTTTTTAGCATAGGTTTCTTATAGTAAATGTAAAGTATTGTTATTTTTGTTATATATGTACTTACTTATTATAGACCATTTTAGTCATTTCCTATCATGATGACGTCACAGGTAGAATATATCAGCAATCTCTATACTTCATGTATCGTTAAATGTCAGACATTTTAAACGATGTAAAGAGGCAGTGAAATTTGTAATTGGGTTTCTTTTCATCGTCTTCATATTACGTAGTGTAGTTTAAGTTTGTAGGTGTCAATTATATTGTGATTTAGGAGCAAATACTTACTCTTTAGAAATATATGTGTTTTCAATGCTCTCATGACGCCTGAAATATTTGGAGCACAATATTTAATGTTTACAAGTGCGATTGGTATTCATAATACGTTAAGGTTGTTTGTTGACGTTGTAGCACGTGTCCCGGTTAACGTAACCGCCAGGGATGGTCAACTTTTTCTACATGATTTTTTGAATAAAAAAACTATTACGCTGTATTCGCAGGTCAATTTATATATAAAGATTAGATTAACATTGATCGTTATTCGAGAAGATTAATAAAAAATGGATTTAATATAAAAAATAAATATAAAATCTTCTCAAATTATAAATAGGTATTCCAAAAGGACAGATTTCAAAATGGAAATAATGTTTAAGAGTGGTAATGTCTTTATAAGTTCTTTGTTTGCTAAATATCAAATATATTTTGTAAACAAATTTAAAAACGGCTGATAGCACCTGCAAATCCTACTTAAGTAAGTAAAAGAAGGCTAGTATTCATTAGTATCGAAACACGACTTATTGCAACATTATCTGTCTGGTCTCTTTATAAAGTGTGCGGATATACAATTAATCTGACATCATGTTACTTAAATTATACCTCACATTAGCTGCGGTTTCCTTTATAAACACTGAAATGGTAGTACCAGGGATCGAGAGGACTTTGAGTGAGGGTGTCACAAGCATGGGTTATAAAGTAGTATATGGAGACGAAGATTTAGATGTTATAAATGAAGTAGTAAGTGATTCGGAGAAGCTGGAAACATTTAAAAAGAACACAGAGCTCAATAAACACTTGCCTCCACTGCCATCGATAGATGTTAAGTGCTTAATGTCAGTTGACAGATATTGTTCCAAAGATATGGGAGAAATGAAAAGTAAGTATAATTATATAGAAAACAATTATATATTACTCATAATAAAATGCAACTGCAGTAATAATATTAACAGTAACAGCTCTACCATTTTATTTTTGAGGGTAGGAATAAATGCTTCAGGAATTAAGTATTTAAAGAGACAAATTTTCTTACGATTATTTTTTGGTGAGATGTTGATCATAATATGTTCGTCAAGCCAGTGTTAAAGAGTGTCGGCAGCACATATTTTAACCTTTATTCTGAAAATTCTACATTTATGTCAAAAATAAGTAATTTTTATACAACCTTATTTTGAAATAACTTTAAATTTAATTCTATTTTAAACGTTGCTGTTTAATTTCTAAATATTTTACACTCAGAGAAAGATTTGAGATAGCGTGTAACTAACTAGGGAAACCAAATCAAAATCTATTACAATATAAAACTATATGCAATAATGAGCTTCAAAATGTCCATTTTAACCATCCAACGACAATTTTCAGGTATTTTAATACAAGCCCTCAAGGATGACTGCGCGAAATGCAGTCAGAAACAGAAAGAGAGAGCAGGGAAGATTGTAGCAGCGATGATGGCTCACGACCCTGTCGCTTGGAAGCAGTTCCTTACAAGGTACGACAGCACCGGCAAAGTTCAGAGGATTCTTGGATAAATATGTAAGATATTTTGTACTGGCTATTAGAAAGTGTTAACTAATAATAAGTGATATATTTTATTTATAGGGTACATGAAGTAGAGGAGAAATTAATTAAAAATGTGGGAGTCCATTTATGTTTTTTATACCACTATAAAAGTTAAATTATTTCAAGATTTAACAGTATATGCCTAAAAAGCAAATTGCTCAATAATTAACTTCATTTTTATTTTGGTCATATAGTAAACGTCTCAGCGGCCGTTTTTGAAAATATTTTTATTTATAATTGTTATGTCATACAATCTTACTCCATTTTAGGTCAGCTCTGGAAATCTTGCCGAAAAAAACGCCACCAAAAGAAGTTAAACATATTTTTAAGCAAGTAGGAGAACCAGAATATATAGAAAACTCGAAACATAGATATACGACGCCCGGAGTGAAAGTAAGAGTGAAGAGATATGCCACGAAAAGAGTTAATTAAACAAGCTTGATTGTTTTAAATTTATAAAACTATTAAAACGATGTTATATTTATTTCATTTTATATGTCTATAATAATGTTTAAAACTAATAAAAACATTGCCAAAAAATACAACGTATTAATATGAATTCTCACTACCCCTTATTCCTTATTATACCTTTTTTACCATATTTATTTTAATAAAAAGTTGTGCAAATCGCACAACCTGTGCTATTATGAATAAAAATATGACATGAAATCTATTAAATTTTTGAAATAAGTTCAAAACTTAAACTGTTTTTGTTTTGTAAGTAATATATTCGCTGATCCAAAAAATATATAGAAAGGGAAAAAGTTTTATTTAGATTACTTAGTCATCTCCTTAATTTGTTTTAGAGCAATGCTGCACATATAAAAATGTTCTAATAGTTTTGCATGTTTAATCAAACGAAGCAAGCGCCTGTGATAAAATGGAGACAATTTTAATGTGTATTCTCCAAGAGACCAAAGTCCTTTTCTATTATTAGATGATTGTCGCGCACTTAGTAAACCAATCATCAATAATATAAGAATCAAAGGTAGATCCGTGATACAGGAGACTGTTATTCAAATAAACCGTTTCCTTGCCATATTAAAGTTTACGAATCTATTATTGACTTCAAAAAATACATTTAACAATGGTTTCATATTTGAAAGGTAGACTGTGAAATTATGTATGTAATTCTTTCAAAGCTGGCATAATAAAAACCTATGTCTCTCCTGTATACTAATATCTAAAGTATAGATTCTAAAAAATCTTCAATATATTGTAACGTTTACTAGTACACATAACAATCTAGTACGCATATATTTGTTTAAGTAACTTTGCCCAACTTTGATAACAAGCCCATTCCAAACCTCTATTCTCTTAATTTAAAGTCAGCTTCATTTTCCTGCGGTTGTAATTCTAGATGAATTTTCATAACGATAGCATAGATAGATGGGATAAACTTAGACAGTTATTTAGTTATTATCAAATCTTTTGTTATTATCATCATCGCTAAGATGACAATTCGTAGAATACGAAAGCCAATCAATTTTATTTAAAACTGCTTGAAACGCCTCAATAACTTTTTCTCAATAACGTTTTTTTCGTTGTTAAATATAGATTTTTTAAATTTAAACTAATACAAACATTATTACTTTCTATACTAATTGTAAATCTTTTGTTAGATTGTCTCAATATTTTTCCTCCCCTTATCACATGTCGCGTTACAGTTAATGAGAGGTTAGGAGTAAAGTGAAATACTTATGTTTTTAAACCTCCCCAATAATTGACAAGATAATAAGTATGATATATTACATATATTACTGGTTATTAATTTAATACGTATGTATTTGAAATTGTGAAAATTGATAGATCAGAAGACGGTTGTTTTTTTGCGCTGTTTGTTTCAAAATATTTGTTGAACTAACACAATAAGACAAAATCAAAACAAACATTATAAGCAAAACTTCTTTTTGGTAGAAAAATTCTTTTCTTGCTGAATTTAAAATACATACGAATTGTTTGGAAACGAAATGAGACGGTCATTTGTAACCTATTTGATATTAATAGTTACTAGTGAGACAATTTCTGTAAAAGGTCAAAGAGATGATCAGAATTATACAAACAGGCTGATATATAATGACGGCAATTTGATGGTTCTTAACGAAGTAGTATTAAATAAAGAGTGTCTTGCCGAATGGAATGATGACATAGACCAAAATAAATTTATACCTCCGATAGGAGTCAAACAAATAAAGTGTTTGATGTCTGTTGATCGACATTGTACCAAGTCCATGGCTCATGTTAAAGGTAATTTCATTTTTTTTAATCTAAACTACAGCTTCATACATCTCGACATTAACACTAGTTCATAGCAAAGTTTATTAAAGAACGACATAAGGTATCTATTCAACCATTCTGTTACAAGAAAAGCCGATCGCTCCTTAACATCTCCAATAAGTCGTTTAAGGATTAATCTGCCATTTGACATGCTAGTACCTACTGAAGTTTAATAATTTAGCATACGAGAACATACGTAAAGAGATGCTTATAGTGACTGTATAATGATAAAAAATTTAAACGTTAAGAATTTATCTCGTTTTTCAGGTATCCTCATAAAGGCTTTGAAGGATGGGTGTGAGAAATGTTCAATAAAGGAAAACGAAAGTGTTGGAAAGATAGTAGCATCAATGTGGGCTTACGATACTAATACTTGGAAAATGTTTTTAACCAAATACAACGGCATGGATATAATACAAAGAATATTTGGATAAGTGGACAAAGGCCCCTGTTTGTTGTTAATTTTTTTTGTAACAGACAATTTTTTTTACAACAGATGAAATGAATAGAAACATTTCAAACTCAGAACGTATGTGATTTCATCTTTTTTCATTGCTATTGTAAAAATAAAGCGTTATATTATCTTATTTTCTTTTAAATTGGCGTATAAGTCTGGTAACATGAATTATATTTAACTTTTTTATATGTATAAATATTGTTTTCTTTATTAAGAACAGTTAGCTGAAATTATGTAATTGAATTATAAAATCATAAAATAATTATGTTTGTCTAACTATTTATTTCAAGCTTTTCTTTATTATATTTCAAGCTTATAATTATTAATGGCTTTCCATCACCGTCTCATGGTCATCTTCACTTCCATGATCAAGACTCTCATTCACTTCCTCTTCGTTTTCATCATCATTTTTACTCACATCCTCGTTGTGTTCCGACAGTTTTGTTGTCAAATACTTCAGTTTGTAGGAACCATCAGAATTGTATCTAAAATACCATCGAAATCATCAGACATCATTGTTATTAAAAATATCAAATACATACATTTTTGCACAGTGTTTCATCCAAGACATTATTATTTGTGTTTAGTGATTAAAAAGTTACATATAATTTAAATTAAGTTACGTACTTTTCCTCCAGTTCGTCCCAATCTTCTGGTCTATTATCTATAATGAAATGCATAACCTTATCAGCTCCCTCTTTTTGCTTTTGGGTACATTTATGACAATCGTTATCAATGGCATCGGGCAAGTTATCTAAAAATTTGGCATTATATAGTTCTAAAACTATATTTTGTTTAATTTAATAAGTAACCTATGTAATCTTTCATTTATTTAAATTCAACCTGTAACTTACAAGTCTCTCTTTCGTATGCATAACGTGCTAAACCTCAGCAGACGATGAATGAAGAGAATTTGAAATATATATGACAACAATTACTTATTAATTTGTATATTGAATAATTAACTTTTAAGAAATGATTAAAATCAATCACAAATATCATAAATCCGTGCAGTGAAATATAATAGTTGGAATTATTAATTATCAATATAAGTAATAGTTTATAGCGTGTTTTTGTTTAACACTAGATTGTTTCAAAGTGGCTTACTTTTCAATTCCTTTCCATCAGGAGAACAAGGTCCCTTATCCAATAGACAATTGATATACCCAGTTAACAAACGATGGCTGGCAAGGATTTCATCCAAATTTATACCATCATACTTTGTTGTGTATGAATCGTTACCAAGGCAGAGATTTGCCATAGATAGGAACAAAAAGGCCGTTAGTGTCTTCATTCTTACTGAAAATTTATATTGATGAAGATTTTAATTTTAGTTTTAGTATATACCTACCACATTCAAGTCGATGGGGTTTACTGATTAAATATAATAGCAACGTCTTTTAACGTCTTGTACATAAGTCTGTTTTCAAGCATTTCGTTCAATATATAAAAATGTACACATAATACATGCGACAAAAAAATAAGCATATAATTTTAGTTAACACACGCGTGTGAGATATTTTGACATTATTTAGATTGGATTAGGTGTGAATATTACTTTGTTGAAGCCGTTGTTAAAGCCACCAACATTGAAGATTAATTGTATTGATAATTGAATTCTTGTATTTGTATTGTAAAAAATATGGAACATTTGAAACAAACCATTAGTACCTATATTTTATTGCAAATGAAGACAGATATAAATCGAGTAACATTTTCTTACAAAACTATTTATATGTATTTAAAACTATTTGAAGTTGTGATATTACAGCACCATTCACTTTTCAACTTTATTTGCCATTGGTATCCAAATAACCAATAAAGCCTTATAATACAAGTAACAGCGACCAAATTGTAATATAAAAAAGAAATATACTTACAGCAAAATAGCAAATGCACTGGAATACCTTTAATCTCTGACATACTTTGCAAAGAAATTGTCTCTTTTATAGAAGTTTATAGTAAATACATAATGATCAGATACTTTGAACAATTTTAGTAATAACATGTCATTTAATATCATATTACTAAAATTGTTCACGCAAGGCAATAGATTTAAAAGAATCATGTACAATTTTTTCAATAAACTTAGAGGATGGTTGCTGGTAAATTCAAAGCTTATAACATTCAAACTAATATTATAATTACTTAGAAATGCATCATTGCTCATAAAAATAGAACCAAAAAATAATAATACTCGAAATTATTATTTTTCGAATATTAGAAAACCTTTATACTTGGTTCATTATTTCATATTCATATTATGTCTGTAAATACTTATGTATTTTAAAATATACCGACTTTTCTTACTATATTTTATATTTTTGTATTATCTTAGCTAGTGTATTTGTAAAGAGATTTTAAGTGTATCAATAAATTAATGATTCAAGTCCACCAATTATAAATGTAAATCAGTTGCATTTAGAAAATCACAGCCTAAAAACAACGACAACACTTTGTTTAAGCATACTCACACATTTGTATATAAATACATATATGTACATACAAATATATTTAAACACATATACCTGCACATACGTCTTTTTTAATGAGAAAGGTGGCAAACACGCAGACGGCCTACTGGATGGGCAGTAGTTACCATGACCCATGGACATCAGCAACATAAGAAGTGTTGCGGATGCGTTGCCAACGTTGGTTTTTGAGGAAGAGGAAGAGTTAGGGATAAGGAAATGGCAGGAAAGGGTGGGGAACAGGGAAAGGGAAACCGGCTCTTTCATTGATCAGACAAAACGCAGCCATCAAAGGCTACTTCACGCCGAACATCTGTGAGAGGATTGTACTTCCCCGGCCGAGCCTGCCCATGTTCGAACTGTAGTAACTATACACAGTTAGGCCCTACCACCTCTAGACATACATAGATACACGTATAATTAAATGCTACAAATTTACATAGGCATTCTAGTACAGGCGCCGTGGTATCAACTTATAAGTCGGAAGAATTAATAGTAATTCTAATTTATACATTACATATTCTAGAATCAGTTTTTGCCGTTTTTTTACCTATAATAATAAAAAAACTGTTTTAATTTTTATTCCTTTGTCTTATTAATAAGTGTTTATTTTTTATGTACATTATTTTAACTCTTAATTAACTCACGTTTCTGAAACACAGGTCTTGGTAGACCAATGGTCAGAAGGAGAACTTTTTAATTTCCTTTTTTATTAATCAATTAATTCTTAGATCATGCAAAGTAGTGGTGACTATGGCGTTAAATGATATGCCTCAGTCAATTGAGTATAGTTGGTAATCAAGTTAGTCCAATATGTTGCCACTTATTCACAGAAGATATCTTTAGTCTCCAATAGATTACATAAGAATGATGTATTTAAATCACTAAAACTCGCGAAAGCCTTAGACCTCAAGTATGATGTCGCTAATTTCAATTCATCGAACTTTTTTACTCTTAAGTGTGGTAGATTCTCACACGACAAGCTGCTGACAGCTGTTGTCTTTAAAGATGTATGTCATAGGTTTAGATTACTCATATATCAGATAAACCCCCTGAAGTTTTTTAATTTATAGTATTAAATTTGTATTTTTATTTTATTTGGTTCAAGGGTAAAACAAAGCAAGAATATGAAATAGGTTAATGTTTTGCAATGTTAAAATGTCAATGAAATACTCTTTATTTAGCATAATTACTGGAAGTCATGTGTAAACATTACTGCATAGCAAGGCCTTAAAGAAGGTTCTCGCGGTAAGTATGAAGTTGATTCATCTTGCTGTTGATGTCTTCCGTTTTAATTAAATTTGTATTCGTGTAAAGTTCATCTTGGAGCCGTTTTTGCTACGTTATTGTTGTTGTTATTTTTATTGTGACGTCATCATGTTAGTAAATTCCTATTTAATTTTAATAGTCTATAGTCGCTAACATCGATTATTTACTTTGGCTATTTTGTTAACTCGAAACGTAGTCGTGTTTATAAATAGATTCATTGTTTTTTTATGTAAAAGGTGGCAAACAAGTAGACGGCCTGCTTGATGGGCTGTAGTTACCGTCGTCCATGGACATCGATGCGTTGACAAATGACAACCTTGATTTTTTTTAGGAATTGGGAGGGGTGGGAATAAGGAAATGACAGGAAAAGGTGGGAATAGGGAAAGGCAATCGGCTCTTTCACTCATTGGAAGAAACGCAGCCATTAAAGGTGTCTTCACGCCGATCTTCTGTGAGAGAGTGGTATTTCCCCGGTCGAGCCTGCCTATGTTCGATCTGTAGTTACATAGCTAAACTACAAAAAATGTTTACTTTCAAGGATCAATATTTCTTTAAGAGATAGGGACTGGTTTATTTAAACTCTAATTGTTCCGTAACTAAAAATATTCCACAAAACTGATTTTGATAACGTACATTAATTTAATTACACTGATACATGACTTACGTACGGGTTTTTACGTGTTTTTTGACGTAACGCTTCATAGTTCTGTGACGCAAAACTGAGAACCGGAATATATAATGACACTTTTTCATAATAACAGGACTGCTTTCTGTTATAACGAGTTATAAATTATCCAATACAAAAGGCATCTTTTATCATGACGAGGATAACGGAATAGTAAAATCGTAAAGAACTTAGGATGTCTGAGATTCTGTTTGCAAACATTATGTCATTAGTTTTATAATTAATATACATTCACCTTATCGTCATAATAATATACATCATTATGCTTTGTTTTGAATGTTCGATGTTACAATATTTACTCGTGTATGTCTCTCTCGTTTAAATTATCATTGTCCTTACATTACTGTGGGGTCAGCGGCCAGACCTATTTGCTCATAATTATTATATTTTTACCTTTTATTGGTTTTACTACAGAATAAAAGCTTAACAGTATTTAGGTTTTTAATTCTATTTCATAAAATCCCATGCAAATGGTTGCTTATTTAATATATGTATATAAACTTACGAAATTGATCCTCTTCTAGTTGATTTAGATCGAATCTTTTTTTGTTTGCTCATTTTTTTATTCTTGTTTTTGTTGCGTTCAAAAACGATTACATCAAAAAAACTTAAATGGTTAATGAACTGTGAATAACTAGTTACAATCTAAACACATAGTCGGCAAACCTTTGTGTGGCAATTATTATGGTTGTTACAATAATTATGGAAAAAGTATTAAAGTTACTAGTAGTTAGCATTGAACCCAATGGTTGAATAAAGTTAATGATCATTTGCATGCTCACAGTGTGCCTACAAGGAAAATGGAGTTGTTTTTTTTATTTAAAGAATGGCCTCCCAAACAAATATTCTAACGGCATGAATTTGACATGTATCTTGTATTTTATTTTGATTAATAGTGAAACATGTTTATTTAATTTTCTGCTGACAAAAAAAAAACGGGAACGAAATGATATCAGCTTCCAACTCCTTAAAGAAACTTTGAAATTATTCTCACTTATAAAATTAACCCAATTAAAAATATATGTATTAGTCGTAAAACTCAGTTGGGAAAGTCCAATCTGTGTTAAGAGAATTGTAAGGTCGCTTTCAAGTTCTATAGTGAATGATAGGAAAAGAAATATTGACAAAAGACTTGAAAAAAAAAGTAAAGACGTAACAAAGGGTTAGAAAGTTTTTACTATGTACTAACAAGTAAAAAGCCTTAAAAATTAATATACTTTGTTAAAAGGTATTGATTATATGTATAAGCTAAATAATTATTTTAATTTTTCGCTTTTACTTTTTTTTTAAGAAAATTACGAATGAAAATATCTTCCTTTAATCTTTTTTACTGCAAATTATACAGAGGAACTATTAAATACGTGCCCAATAAACAAAATCTCGTAATTTCCTTTAGAAACTAAATTAAAATCTTTCGACAGATTTGTGAATTATATATTCATATAAACAACCAGCTGTTTTCAAGGAATTTGATAAATAGAAATAATCTGAGAATGGTTTTAATTTGTTATTATTGTGTTACTATGAGGCACAAAGGATGATATAAAAAAGTAATTTGTTACAACTGGTTCCAGCACAAGTAATTTTTGTATTAAATGTTTAAGTGTGCGTATATATGTATATATATATACCTTTAGTCAATATTTATAAATGTTTCCAATTTCATTTTCATATATTTTCTGCCGCATTAGATAGAATGTTGTTATGCAACAAGGGACTAAATAAAATATCTGAATTTAAACCATAACATAAAAATTAAGACGAGTTTATATTAGCTGACTAAGAAAGCTTGTTTGAACGCTCATGCATACAACTCGTTCTACTATTTGATCACTTATTCATATATGACAAAAAAAAAACCAATACGTCTGTGAGATTTACGTACCAATTAACAGAAACGTTATTGAGACTACGCGAAATGTATTCCAAAACGGGTTTGTGACTAAAGTATCTTGCTCTATAATAGTATATAAAAACTCAAATCTCCGCTGGCCCTCTGAATTCGGTTGTCAACTCTTAACGTGAACGTCCACTTTAAAAAAAAAATAAAAGGTTATTATCCATTCTTTTTTTACTTTCGAATACGATATACAATATACATATGTTCTTAGAAATGTTGAATTTAATTTTCATCCTCATTGTTAGGAATTCCTCATTGTAATATTTAGTACATATATAACTTTGTTTTGTTATATTCGTTAAATTTAATGCTTTCTTCCAGATGAAGTGCGTCGGAGTTTTGTGTTTATTGTCGGTGGTGGCTATGGTAGCAGCCAGACCAGAAACATACACAGATCGTTTTGATAATATCAACTTGCAAGAAATTATCAACAATCATCGGTTACTCAAGGCTTACATTAACTGCGTACTGGAAAAAGGAAAATGCACGAACGAGGGCCGTGAACTTAAGAGTAAGTTGAAACTTTCTTTATCATTTAGTTCACGATTTTTTTTATTCATTCAGAAAATAATATAAATAAATACTTATAATATGCACATTAATTTAGAAAAAGTGAAAGAATATGTCTCAGTTTCTCAGTGTTAATTTTGCTTATTCGTATTGTCGTTATCAAACGATATTAATTATTTACCAATATATTTTCGTAAACATAACATTTTTACTAAATTCTATTAGCATATATAATATATACATATGTTGCAATTCAAGGTATCTTAGAATATAATGTAACTTTAATTTGAATATTGGTTGCTGCAATATGTTGCGTCCAAAATATAATCGAAACAAAATAATTTTATAAATATATACGTAGCGTTAATTATATATATTTTATTTTTATTTTTATATTAAATTTCTATTATAGCACACATCAAGGATGCTATTGAGAACCGATGTGACAAGTGTACTGAAGCCCAACGTAATGGTACAAAGACTGTGATTCGTCATCTCATTAACCATGAACCAGCTTCTTGGGAAGAACTGGTCCAGAAATACGACCCTGAGAGGAAATACGTCGTTAAATACGAAACAGAACTTAGAGAAGTCCTTAAAGAGTAGATCAAATTTAATAATTTTATTGTTTTAAGTTTAATAGTGTGATAACTTTAAACAATTTAATAAATTGACATCAGTATTGCAACATGCACAACATATGTTTAAGTGTAGTAAATTAATTATTAATAAAACTATGATAAATCAGATTGCTTTACATTATTTTGGACATATGTGTACCTATCAATTTCTCCTGATGTAACTTAAAAAAATGTGACAATGACGAAAAGGAAGTAATTGGTTTGATAATTGAAATTGGGAATACAGAATAAAATAGAAAAGAAGTGAAAGAAAAACGGTAGGAATTAATAGAAATTTTTATGAGTAAATGTTATATAGTAATTACGTTTTCACTTTTAAATTTAAAGATTTTTTGTTTGAATAGTGTCACAATATAGATGAAAAAAAAATGAATTGACGGTTTTTGTTATATTTATTGATATATGTTTCGTTTTTTATTACTTTTGAGTCCTAGAGCATTTGATAAAATTCTATGAATTGCAATACTACAAGGAAAGTATTAAAATAAATAAATAAAAGTAATTCTAATGATTTATTTCATATTGTTACGATAACCAGCATAAATTAGACCTGTACTATTGTTTGAACTATAATAATCAGTTATAAAAGTCCAAAGTTAAGGTCATTTAAAAACCATGAAGAGAGTTATGATGTAGTTTTAGTTTGACTTAAGTGCTGTGATTATTGAATACATATTGAAGAGAACTAGTTGAAGAACTAAGTTCAAAGACATAATGTTACGTCACATTTCGAGTTCAAAGAACAGGTTCCAAGGCTTATCTTTAAACCAGGAGTTAGTTGAGTAATATGTTCTTGAATGGCGTCCCCATTATTACATAACATAGGACATAATTTTATTTAAAATTTTCACTTTTAGTGAGGCTCTCGTGTACAATGATGTTCTAAAACGTCTATACCTAATGTTTACACATTAAGAAACTACTTGGAAATGTTCCTTAGGTGTTTACAGAACTAATATTGATTATTGTACACAAATAACGCATAAGTCACACTTATGTATGTCTTTTTTTAGCACATTTGGATTCGAATAGAGCAAAAAAATACTAAAGATATGTTTATGTGTAAAGTATGATTCAGATTTTTGATGTTTGTATGTATTAGTAACAAATTTCTATTAGATCTATATTAAAATAATGAATTCATATCAAAAATCACTGCCCTGTCTTTAATTTGTTTCAAAAAATTATAAAGAGCCAGTACGTGTAGCATTATGTTTTTAAAATGGCCTTAAAATTTTCTTAAATCTTTAAGTTATTAAAATAATAAACAAATTAAGTTGCATAAACATTATGTTAAATCCTCGATCCGTATGTTTCGTCATAGAAAAAAACGTCATATGAGGGAAAATAATATTAAAGAATATTAGTTTTATAAGTAAATTTATATTATATTCATTATAGTCAATTGTATATAAGAAGTGATCATTAGGTAGGTGTCAGCATTGTGAATAAAACACTGACAAAGATATCTCTTCAGTCATAGATCATTTAAGATCAGGTAAGTGTTCGTAGTTTTTATAATAAAATACTTATTAATTATTTGTTTTTGTATATAAATGGCCATTTGAAAGCAGTTTAATTAAAGGGTGGGCAAAAAACTATTGCCCCTTTCATAAGTAGTTCTTAATTGGGAAACTTTAATGAGCTAGTTCAAACCTATCATATAGTGAGTTAATTTCCCTTTGAAACTGGTTATTTTCTTTAGAATGTAAAAATGTTGGTTAGATTCGGGGAAAGGTAGATGTATAAAATAAAATAACAATCCCTATATTTTACGTGTATTTATCCTTCACCCCAAATGAGATATTTTTGTTTAAATAAAATTTGGGCATACCTTGGCCAGAAGTTTTTAGCTAAATATTCATTTAATTTATGCTGACAGGTCTCTTGTGATGGTGTAATGAATAAAATATGTTTCAGTGAAGATTACATAAGAATCATGAGATCACTAATCTTAATATCTGTTTTGATGGCTGTTGTCTATTGTCGTCCTGATACCTACACTGATCGTTATGATAACATCGACTTAGACGAGATATTAGGAAATCGTCGCTTACTAATTCCTTATATCAAGTGCATTTTAGAGGAAGGCAGGTGCTCACCCGATGGAAAAGAACTTAAATGTTAGTATTATTTCATATTTCTCCATACAAAGTTACTTTACACTTCTAATGTGTCCGAATATCAATATATCATAATGATTCATCTTATTTTATTCCCCATTATTCTAACACCATAACTTATGTTAGTAAAACGTTGAGTCACTAAGATAGTAAAAAATTAATCGGTTTAGTTCGTAATAATTCAATTGTTTACTTTTCTATAGTATGATTATTTAAGATTATATTTTAATCTCACTAGTACAAACTTATTTTCTTATTGTTATGTTTTTAAAATTATATTATTAATTTGCATAATATTTTTTACTACGTTAATTATGAATCATTGAAGAATATTTGATATTCATTCGGATAAAAAGACTAACCTTTTCTTTGTTATTTTATGTATATATACAGTAATTAGTTTTTTTTAATTTTAATTAGTTAAGAAAATAAAATACTGACCATGCACATTTCATTTGAAATTAAACTAAACATGATAAATGGCAGATTTCATCAATTCTACAATTTATGCTTTTTTTATTTTGCTATTACTTTAAGCAATTTAATAAATATGTTCAATTAACTGCGCCCATGAGCTTTGCATAATTCTGACCAAAACATTTAATTTTTTCTTAAAAATTTAAAATTATTTGGTATTTACTAACTTTTATATCACAATTTGTAAGAGAATAAAACATCGAAGTACTTATAAGGATACAATATAATAAAAATATTATGATATACATATATCTATGTATAATATATGGATATATATTTATAAAGATATAAATAGCAGTTCAACAAAAGCCAATTATTCAAATACACGATAATTATGTTCTGTTTTCAATTACATTAATTAAAAATGAAAAAAACATTTTAAATGTTACTTTTGTTCAAGAAAGTAAGGTTTATTTAAGTGTCAAAGTCTTTCCACCATAAAAGTTTTAATCTTTTGAAGTATTTTCCGTTGAAATAAAGATATCCACGCCACAAAAGAAACAAGCAGCGTTTAGTTTCCTAGCACTAATCGTATGTATTTTTTTATAGCACATATCAAAGAAGCAATGGAAAATGATTGTGCGAAATGTACCAAAAAACAGCAGGAGGGAACAAAAAAAGTGATTGGACATCTCATCAACAAAGAAAAAGATTATTGGCAACAGCTTGTTGCGAAATATGATCCCGAACACAAATATGTTGATAAATATGAAAAGGAACTACGTGCGTAAAAATCTATTATGGAGAATAGGTTTTTGGTATTGTTAACAGTGAAAGAATATAACTCAAATATAAACTCCAGTTAAAAATATAGACTGCAGACTATATATTTTTTTAAATAAAGGTTTTAACGAAGGTATATATTTTTTTATTTAAAACAGGATATTGATCCGACTTTGTCCACTTGTGCGTTGATTTGTTGTGCTCTGGTTTATATTGTTTTTTTTTATTTTATTACCGAACCGGTTCAAATAAAGGCACGATTGCACAACACTTTAAAATATAAAAATCCCAATTTTATAATGAGACTTCTACTTTTAGGAACTTATTCAGTGTATATCGGTTTTTATAAACAGAATATATATAAAACTCTGGCACAATAATGAAAATAATATATTTCAATTTCATTTGTTTGACATGAGCTATTTACCATTGTACATATTGGTATAGAAAAATACTGTAAGAAAATGTTGTCGATTTCATCAAATTTTTCATTAAAATATCTTAACATATTTTAATTATTTTTATGATTTTTTAAATAAAGATGTTCGAATTTATATGATTACAATAAAGAAAACGAAATTGAATAAAGGTAGGCATCATATTTAAGATGTAATTCAATAAATAAAATAATTACTATACCCACCAGATAAATGGCTATGTACTTTAAAAGACAGCAATAAAAAGTTGTAAGAAATGATTAAATACCTAAAAAACAAGTAATCAATTTTATCCCAACTATAAAGTTCCTCTATAGAATAATTTTAGTCACAAAATGATTACCATTAAGATGGGCTCGAAGTTGAATTTACTTATTATTGTATAATTATTTTAACCTTGTAAAAATTAGAAAGTAAGACAGCGAAACATTTTAATTGGCTCTATATTTTTAATTGCAATTAATACAAAATGCAGCGTAATTGAGGAAGAGTTTTAGGATTTTGACAGGTAATTAGGAACAATGATTACCTACGAGGTTGGTCTAACACATTTAATGAATATGACGAATGATTTTATAAGAAAAAATTAGTTTAAATGGATATATAGTAAATGATAACAAGTTAATTAAATGAATTTAACCAAGCAACGAATCCAATTAGGAAACTGACTAAGAAACTAAAGTACTGAAAAGAAAATAATATCAGTTCATAGAACATGTATTTATTAATAATAATTACTAATGCTAGCTTCAGCTGTTAAAAGAATTGAAAAAAACTTACACATAGTTATTTTCTTACGGGTACCGATTAGAATAATATAAAATAACTATTTAAAAGTTATAATTAACTTATTAATCGAAATACTTATAACTTTGTAGTCAGCATTTTCTTATTTAAAAGTATACTGTGTGAGATGATTTCTCTTTGTCAAGTAATATTGTGTATCACGATTTTATGAATTTAGTAGCAGTTACTCGCGAACACATTAAAATGTATGCGGTCGAATTCAGCATCGTATTTTTTAAAGTATTGACCAAATGTGACCTTACAAAATGATTATAGCTGTAAATTTAACACAATTATTCTATTTTTTATTGAAAATAAAATTTAGGTAGTTTTGTTAATTATTTAAAGATTTTGTTTTACTCGCAGATTTTTCTTTTTCTCTTGTTGAAAACACATTCTGTATTTATTAGTGTTTCTGATTGTGATATATACAATTTTGTGTTCAGCTATTGTTGTATTACTTCAGTCTTTAAGTTTTCTGTCAGTCTTCCTTATAATTCTTGGGATTACGGAATTATTTATATGTGAGTGGCACCGAAATAATATTTTCCTCATTTCTCTACTTCTTCAGTTTAAATATAACTGACTCAAGGTTTAAGAAACATCTGATGTTTTTTTTTCGTATATTATTTCTGTAACAATACTGACGTATATTATATACACTCACCTATAACAATAATCACCTTCAATTTAATTAAGTAGAGTATAGTTCTCTTTAATTATTCACTTTTTTTAGTTGTTTCTCTTGCAATTTTTGATATCTTTTTATATATTCAGCTAGTATAATATTTTTTAGTTTTTAATTTTACGATTATTTATTTTTACGTTTGTGTTTAATAATATTCGGTCCTAATTATTGTTATTTGGTTTCCATTAATAATTGGTTTCTATTTCACTATGAGTTTCTGTCAAGAGTCAATTTAATATAAGATTGGTTTGTTTCTAACATTATTTCTATTTATAGTGTTTTGTTCGAAGTATAGATTTCAGCTTGTAGTTTAATTTAACTAACATAAATCTCACTCTATTATTTTTAGAGTTTTCTTCTTATTTCATTAATGTTCCTATTGGATTCATTGGGTGTGTGACGAGAGTTTTATATAGGAGTTAATATTAATATTATATTATAATATATTAAATAAGAATAATTTCATTAAGTAATAGTGAAATTGTACATATATAAATTTTTCTTAACGTACTTACACCACTATGTCTGTATGAGTAAAATCAAAACTTACAAATGTTTTTGATCATCCTGGATTTTTCCAAAAACTTCGTCCAGTGCACTTTTTGTTAGCTGAGTTTGATAAAAATAATATTTATAAAATTGCGGGGTTAAAACACTAAAATATTCATTTCCGTAGGAATTTTAGTATAATGGAAAAAAAATAGGTAGAAGATTTTATTATTTTAGCTTTATTACAATATTTATTATTATTCTTGTTGTAATTTTTAATATTTTAAAGAAAAAGAAATTATTCTTAAAATATACAATAATTTATAATTCCATTAGATAATCATATAATATGTTTTAATATTTTGAATCAGATATATATACTCGTATCAGTATACATTTAGTTCAAAAATTGCTTTTAAGAAATGCTTCGTATTTTTCTTTAAATTCATCTTTAGGATCATATTTCTTTATCAATTCGTCCCAAACGTCTTTGTTGTTTTCGCGAATGTAGTTCACAACCTTCCTGGCTTTCGTTTTTTGAATTTCAGTGCATTTTGAACAGGAATTTTGAATTGCATCTGTTACATGTACTGAAATGTAAAATAGAGAATTACATTATTCAATTTGTACTATATAAATTTAATAAGGATGGATGGAAGTCTGTGGTGGCCTAGTGGTTAAAAGGTCCGCCTCTCATGCACGCGGGCGCGGGTTCGATCCTGGACCGGGCAAGTACCAATGTGATTTTTCCGAGTCATATGTACTTTCTAAGAGTATTTAGACATCACTGAGTAATGCTGATTCCCAGAAATAAAAAGAGGGTTGATGTCAGGCAGGCGGCCGGTAGTAAAAACAAACAGCCAAAACTATTCACAACATGTAAGGCAGACCCTGGCTATAGCTGGGAAATTACCAGTTAGAAGAAGAAACTTAATAAGGATATTTGAATATTAAAGGCACTTATTTAAGTGTATTGTTTTTCATGTCTGAGAATTTATACATATTTTGGTTAGTTGAAATTTAGATATTTAAGATTTTAGTGTGTACACTTTTAATTTGAATATATGATTTTTGTACATATTACGGTCATTTACTGTTTTATTTTTTTTATCAAACCAAACTTTCATGTTGTCTGCACATGATCATGCTGTAAAATAACGGAAACGTCGTGAAAAAAAAAACCGTAGTAACTATCTATTTTTTTCAATGAACTCATGGTTACACGTTCATTATAAATTAATATTATGAATTTTCTTATTATTAGAAGTAATTCTACGTACTAAATCTTTCACTAAAACTTGTTCAGTAAGTTTAATATGACGGAAAAAATATACACACATACAAAATAACGTATTATAATAACAAAACATTGTAGAATTATTTATATAGAAAATGAGTACTATGACTTGAAGTTGAACTAGAAATAAAAATGATGATTAGTTGCTTACCAAGAAATCACAGTACTAGTAACACTATATACAAATTTTAATTTAATTATTCAGAAAAATCTTTCATTTAAATACTTTTTAACCATTAAATAACAACTTTTAAGACTCTACAGTCTTACCCTATTCTAGAGTACCCTACGGTACTCCCAAAGAATCTTATTTTATCTTGAATACCTGACAAGTATAAAATCGCTAACATTTGTTGACTGTAATGAAATTTTCTTTTTTAGTTATGACTATAAACTTAGTTTTAATCTGTGTTCAAAAGATAAATGAGCATTGAATATACATATTTTCTATTGATTATGAAGCTTCAAATGAGCTATATTAACTTTTAATGGTCGTTCATATCCTTATAATGTAAATAATTATATGTTTTGCTTAAGAACAAAGAAAATTCTATTTAGAAATGCTCACCCAAATTACATTGCATTTATGCCTCATTGTAGCTTATACTTGTAGTCACATTCTATTTAATACGTATTATTGTATCTTTCATGTTTTCTGTATTTTTTAATAATTTCTATTCTTTTTTTATCCTTTAAAGAAAATAAAAATAAAGGACGGAAAATTTCAAACGTACCTTTTAATGTTTTACCCTCAGGAGTGCAACGACCTTGGTCCATTAAACACTTTATGTACGACGTAAATAATCTTTTGTTTGATAAAATCTCATCAACATTAATATCGTCATATCTGTCCGTATATTTATCCTCTGATGAACAGATGCCTATTAACGCTAACCCAATTATAATGATACACTTCATTGTGATTGCGCTTCTCTGTTTCTTATTATGTTGTCAGTCGAAAAGTGAAACAATTCCTTGTATATTCTTTTTATACATGCATATAAGAATGGATTACGCAAGTCGTGTTGACATGCTAAGATATTAATTGCCTTTAATTGACTTAAACGGTAAAGATGAGACCGTGGAAATAATGGGAAAACAAAGAACGTTTTATATTCTCCTACCCTTTAATTTTAAAATTACGATTTAAATCAAAATTGGAATATAATTAGAATATATTTGTTTCATCGTCATCATCATCATCATGAATATATAATTAGAATATATTTGTTTATTTCGTGGTAATTACTTTCGATATTTCAGATGCTCAAATCATGTGGCTTGTACTATCATGTATCAAGAAATTTTAATCCTTCATTTTATAATTAGTTGCAACTATTAGCTCAAAATTGCTTTAATCCTAAAAACATAATTATGTAATTTTAACTACACTTTTAAGTTAGCTTCCATTGGGGTTTAAATATTTTAAATTTTTATTACTTTAAATGAACAATCAATAATATTTGCTGAAAAAAAGTTTTTCTATTATTTTAGTTTCTACTGAAATGAAATCATAGAGTCACGTTTTAAATAGTTTATTATTAAAATATGAATATGTGTATCACTTAACAATGTTATTGAAAGGAACTCTCATTTTGGACTCAAGCCGAAAAACTGTTATATATATTTAAGATTTTTATATTTAAAGATATTATATAAATATTTTTTGAAATGGTTCTTGAAAAATATAGTCAAAAAAATAAGTGAATATAAAATTTAATAAAAAATCACATTTGATAGCTAATACGATTTTCGTCGTTCATATAACTTTAATCTTCTGGGATGACAATGCCCTTTTCTCTCGCACGGTCCTCGTACTTCTTCCTCCAGACTCCTTTAGGGTCGAACTTGTCCGTCAGCTCCTTCCAGATAGCTCGTTCATGTTTAACCAAGTGGTCGATCATTGTAGTAGTTCCTTCCATTTGTTTATCGGTACATTTTTCGCAGCCGGTCTCCAAAGCGTCTTGGACATGTGCTGTAAAGGAAAATAATCAGCTTAAAAAATAAGTCATTATGGTACATGATCCAAAATTAAGAAAAGATCAAATAATTGGTTTAGCGACATTCTTTGAATAAGTGGGTAACTTTACGAAACATGTGTTTTCTTCTTAAGTAAGAATTTAATCCATGAATGAAAAGCCAATGATTGAATTAATATGGTTTTCCTTGTATTGTATACATAAGATCTAAAAAGCAGTTTTTTTATTAAGAACAAAAATACATTAACTTACCCTTCAATTCCTTGCCTTCAGGACTGCATTTTCCTTTATCGAGGATACAGTTGACATAAGCTTGTAAGAGTTTCTTGTTATCTAAAATCTCTTGCAAGTTAATATTGTCATATTTGTCCGTATACTTTTCATCTCCCAGCACACAAACTAGCACGCAGCATAACACTACGCACGACTTAAGAATCATCTGGAATTATTGATAATATCAGTAATAAAGTCAACTATATAATAGGTTTGATAATTCAATCTATACTATACTAATAATAATAATGTCTATAGTTATATTGTTTGAGTACCCACCGTCGCTGTTTCACAGTATTGTGATGCTGCAACGTTAGGTAACTTATGATACAACACTTACTGGAGCTGCTTATTTATACTTGTTCCTTTGGAGCTTCAAACATTTAATTTGCCAGTCGTTGAATCACCATTTCATTGACGATGCATAAAAAATCTTATACAGTACGTTCTATACGTAAACGTTTGCTTAGACTCATGTATTCACTTTAATGCACTTTATTAGAACTTGTTTATTTCTTTTGTAATAACGTATACATAATGTCTCTTTAAAGGCAGACATAAATCAAAGATCAAGGTTTTACCAGTTTTTCTATTCAAAGTTAATTGAAGGTTCAATCATTTTTTATTTTTGAAATTATGTTAATACTGTTAATTTTAAAATTAATTATCCTTATATCTATGAAATTTAAAATCTAGAATTTTGGTTTTATTTTTTACTAGTAAGTAGTGTCGTTTTTTATCTATTTATACATTTTATACATCCTGTATTGTCTTCTTTAAGAGGCTGTATTTTCGTTTATCAAAATAATTCATCTCTAGACACCTTGAACAACAACAATTTTTTGTTTTAGTGATGTTTATTTAGTAATTATCATTGATTTTTTTAATATTTCATATGAGATTTGTTTACTAATTAAACAATACACTCGTGGAAAATTACTTTGATCAATTAGTTTATGTTATATTGGTTTTCAAGTGTACCGAGAATCTATAGTAAAGATATATATTCGTCCGTATTCTTCTAAGAAATTAATATAATATAAATTGTTAAACACGTGAACACGTGTCTTCATAGACAACATCTCACCTTTGTGACATTTTTCAGTTAATATGTTATTCCATTATAAAACTTAATTGGTTATTTTGTATTAGATATATAAGGTAGGCAAAAATATAGGTATTCGTGTTTATATTAAGTCTTATTTTTGAAAGTATACACAAACAATGCCTGTGTAATTAAAGTAAAACTTCAATAATCCTCATTAGATATTAGTTATTGAAACGTATAGGTTATTACGAATGAATATTACATTTATAGTTGTTACGATTTAAAGGTTTATACGAGTACGTATTTTGGGTTTACAAATATAATGCAGAATAAGTATTCAAAAACAAGTGAAGTGGGCTATAAGATTCGAGAAAAAGATAATCAAAAGAATCAAGGTTTAAAGTTAGTTTTTACAGTAGCTGTTTAAATAGTGTTTTGTGAATATAATTTGGATAAGGTTATAGATATTCAAAACGTAAGAAGTGTTTGTTATACTCAACAGTGTTTATAAAGCTTATTAAAATAATTTGGATACAATAAATTAAAAACAAAGCAATAAGATACATTTAGAACTAATCTTTAACTTAAAACTTCTACTATTTATTGTTGTACATATGAAGTAAGCCAAGTAATAAAAATAAAGAAAAACGTAGGTTATTTGGTTAAAAAAAGATTTTTTTGTCCTTAAGCAACTCACAAGAACTTTAGGTTATTAAAACGATATATCATTTTATGAAATAAAAAATATTTCAAAGTCAGAAGAAGGTCACAAAATTATTTATATTTTGTTTTATTTTATTTTGACTCTGTTACTTTTGAAAGTCTATTTCTTAAGAATATTGTCAGCTTTTCAGTTTTCTTGTTTAGAAAAAAACACATAAGTGGAAAGGGAAGTATCAATAAATCTATAACTTTCCGTTAAAACATGAAGAGTTCTATTGCTCAAACGTAATGTTTTTATTATAAATTTATATGTTAAAGTTGCAAACTATACCTGAAACATAGTTATTTTGCTTTCGATTTTAATCTATTAAAAAAAACTGCATATTTAGAACTTTTGTATCTATGATATCGAACAATACTTATTGCAGAAATATATTTTTAACAAAATAGATTGATATTTTTGAAATATTTGAAGTGAATTTGGTGAGTTTTGGTGAAGTTTAGTTTATTATTATAAGTCAGTATACAGAAATATAAAGCATATGCAGAAAATAGGTATATAAAGGATATATATACATTCAAAATATTTCTACAGAGCAAACCTGCCTCAAGCGAAAGGAAAAACACGGTAACTAATCAATGTTGTTTACAAGATGTAATTTGGTTCGTGTTTAATTGATGTATAGAATAAAAAATGCCGACAAACGTTCTCTAATCTTGAAGATTAATTATTTTTATTAAAACAAAACATTTTGTATGTTAAGTTTATATCTCGTTCCAGCTCTGTATTCTAAGTTGTATATTAGTTACTGGAAACTTCAATACAACATTGTTCATATAAATATTTCCATCTTATTGCTTACTGATAAGTTAGAAGTTAATAGATTATAGAGCATTTATTACTTCTTTTTAAGTCAATCCAAAGAAATATATTTAGTTGCTTAGAAGAAGCTGGACATCTATGGGTTTTGTATTTTGAACCGACTTCAAAAAAGGAGGAGGCACTCAACTTTTGTGCAGATATTTAAAATTTATTATTATACAGGATGAGAGAGACAATAGTATTTAAGTGTAAAAATATTTTAGTTCCTATGTTCCAATGTTATTGGTTTGGAGTTTTATTTTGTAATTTCAAAATAATTTTGTTTTTGAATTAATTATTTCAAATTTAATAATTAAAGCATTGAAATGTTATTATTATTAATTTAATCATACTGTTTTACTCGCGATTAAATTTATATTTCAACTTACTTTATATATATGTATTAACAAAAAATGAGTGCACATAAAAACTCATTTACAATAAAATCTCATTTCACTCAAAATTAATGAAAAATATGGTAATAAGATTAAAAAACACAAAGATTTAAAATATTACCATCATGGACTTGTTCTTACAAGTTTTTAAGTACGAATATTTTTGATGAATAACTTTAATTTTATTTATGTCCGATACGCATGAATTGTGTTTATTATATACATATATAAATGTTTACAAATTTAAATGCCAATACACATTCTGAATGACAAAATATAAAACATACCCTTAATCAAGATACCAGCTTTCCTTAACATTTTTACTATTTATCTTTTGTAAAAATAAAATGGTGTATTTTTATAATTATGTTACTACTCAACCTGTGTTGAGTAGTAACTTAATTTTGAGATAATTCTGTAATTATCACAAAGCTTATTCAGTATATAATATTAAAACTAACAATACTGTTTTTGCTTCATGTGCATACATTAATATCTTAAATAATAAATATTCATCTCAAGTTGTAAAACATCCGTTTTGTTGTTATCTTTTCTACGAATAACTAAAAAGTAATAAAACATATTTTCCTTTACGAAATATTACTATTGTAGTGAGTTTTCAATTAATCCACAAATAAATGTCGGAAAGGTTTTCCATTGAAATGCCAAAAATTCTTATCAAATTTTATTACAAAAAAATAATAAACAATGATCTATAAATTCAATCGTTCATATAATTTTAATCTTCTGGGATGACAATACCCTTTTCTCTCGCGCGGTCCTCGTACTTCTTCCTCCAGACTCCTTTAGGGTCAAACTTGTCCGTCAACTCTTTCCAGATAGCTCGTTCATGTTTAACCAAGTGGTCGATCATTGTAGTAGTTCCTTCCATTTGTTTATCGGTACATTTTTCGCAGCCAGTCTCCAAAGCGTCTTGGACATGTGCTGTAAAGGAAAATAATGTGCTTAAAAAATAAGTCATCATGCCACATGATCCAAAACCAAGAAAAGATTAAGTAATTTTTTTAACGACATTCTTTGAATAACTGGGTAACTTTAGGAAACATGAGTTTTCTTCTTAAATAAGAATTTAATCCATGAAGGAAAAGCCATTGATTGAATTAATATGGTTTCCCTTGTATAGTATACATGATATCTGAAAAGCAGTTTTTTATTAAGAACAAAAATACATTAACTTACCCTTCAATTCCTTGCCTTCAGGGCTGCATTTTCCTTTATCAAGGATACAGTTGACATAAGCATGTAAAAGTTTCTTGTTATCTAAAATCTCTTGCAAGTTAATGTTGTCATATTTGTCCGTATACTTTTCATCTCCCAGCACACAAACTAGCACGCAGCATAACACTACGCACGACTTAAGAATCATCTGGAATTATTGATAGTATCAGTAATACAGACAACTATATAATAAGTTAAATAATTCAATTTATATTAATAATAATAATGACTATAGTTATATTATTTGACTACTCACCGTCGCTGTTTCACAGTATTGTGATGCTGCAACGTTAGGTAACTTATGATACAAAACTTACTGGAGCCGCTTATTTATACTTGTTCCATTGGAGCTTCAAACATTTAATTTGGCAGTCGTTGAATCACTTCTTTATAGTAGACGTTTTTTTGAACGCAAACAGAACCTGATTTTACTTTTATTATTTAATACGGCTTAGGATAGTCACTTACGGAATAATAGATTTTTTAAAGGGTTCCTTTTTTTATTCAGAAACTTTTGAAAATCATAAGACTATTTTTTCAAACTCTCATCCGTATAATTTAATTGTGAACAGGCACGGAGGATAATATTATTATTAATTTTTTTTTAATTAATTATTTATAGGAATTTGTTTATTAGTTAAAGTACAATACTCTGTTATACATTATCTAAAACCACAGGTTTTCTCGTGAACTCATTTAAATTAAATTAAACTTTTTAGATACTGAGATGAAAGTGTTTTTATCTCGTCTTCGCGTTATCCCGGTTGCTGGAACCGAAACGTTAGGATAACGTTGTTTAAAAATAGTAAAAAAGGAGTAGTATCCACAAAGCTTCATTTCCTTCATGTGACATAAATGTTTAGCAAAAATTTCCAAATTCATAGAAGAATAATAATATATTTAATCTAGCAACAGCCCATTTTTGTGCAAGTAAATCCTAAACAGACTAAAATATTTGAATATCACAGTTACTGACTACGGTTCTGGGATGAGTTATTAAAGTTAAAAGATAATATTACGAAAATGAACTCTAAACTCTTTGTTTTTATAGTGTTTTGCGTCCGTGATTATTTTTCTAGTTCGTGTGTAAGTCCGTTTTTGTTTAGTTTTATTATTTCCATGTAAATCATAGTTCATACATATAGGCTTTAAAGGGCAAGACCTCGTCATCAGCCTATCAGAGCCCACTGCAAAGGCCTCTTTCTCACATGGAGAATGTTTGAGAATTAATCACCACGCTAGCTCAAGACGGGTTAGTGATTTCAAACCCTTAATTGTGGAATTATAAGTCCAGGTTTCCTCTCGATGTTTTCCTTCAACGTCTGTCAGTGGAATCTAAATACTCTTAGAAAGTAAATATTACTCGGAAAAATCACATTGGTACTTGCCAGGATCGAACCCGCGCCCTCGTGCACGAGAAACGATCCCTTTAACCATTAGGCCACCACTGAGTTTAAAGGGCAAGACCTGGCAGTTAATAAATTCTAAAGCAATATTTTATTTTGTTTATATAATTACCTGTATGTGTTTATAATGAAACCTTAACGTGTAATTATTTACAAAACACAAAACTAAGGTCGGAACTGAGTCATTGTCATTAGTTAAAATAAAAAAGCAGTAACAATAAAGTTTTCCATTATTTCCAAGTAACAAGTAGAAAAATAAAAATTTTTGGAATTGTCTTCACGTATGACTCATATACTCGTATACTCCTATTTGTAATATGAAAAAATATATGTGGCATATAATTGTTTTTCTAGTGTAATGGATTCATAGTGTTATAAAATCAAGTTTATTAGGATTTATCGATATGTAAATAGGTGTATGTTCGTAATTTTTCAAAAAAATGTATTTTATCTAGATAAAATTATCCTACAACATAGTTTAGACTACAACATAACATCATAATCATATTTTTTTGCTAGAGTCTTTGTAGTTCCCTAGGGAATAGGACATAAAACCCCAGCTATATACTCGCCGATTATTAAGTTACTACAACTATTTTCTTTAAGCAGACATTATTTATTTCTATCAGGCCCAAAGTCTAAGTCCAAGTTAACGGAGTCGCCGAGAGAAGGAAGTATACAATTATTATAAATCAAAATACCTGAATACAGTTTACGCGATAATGATTATAACATAACCTTAACCGAGAAACAAATTTTCCTTAATATTTTTAGAATGTATGTTTTATGGATTAATTATATATTTAATTTATAAAATTGAATATGTATATTAATTATATCAGTCAATATATTTACAATATAGAACGGCCTCGTAAAACTTAAACATTATTTAAATTAACTAGTATATATAATTATATATAAATAAGAAACTGTTTTAGGAGAGTTCTTCTTTTGTTGTTTTATCATTAAAGAGTTAGAAAAGAACACAAAAACGAGATAAAAATGTACATTGTATAGTTTTTTCTGAAAATTATTAATTAATTATTTATTAAATGAGGAATAAAGTGATATTGTTGCGAATATTTAAATTTTCTTTAACAAACGTTACTAAAGGTTTTGCATGATTGAAAAACATAAATTGTAATATCAAATTTTATTAAAACAAATCCGTCGTTCATATAATTTTAATCTTCTGGGATGACAATACCCTTTTCTCTCGCGCGGTCCTCGTACTTCTTCCTCCAGACTCCTTTAGGGTCAAACTTGTCCGTCAACTCTTTCCAGATAGCTCGTTCATGTTTAACCAAGTGGTCGATCATTGTAGTGGTTCCTTCCATTTGTTTGTCGGTACATTTTTCGCAGCCGGTCTCCAAAGCGTCTTGGATATGTTCTGTAGACGAAATCGAGATAATTTACTACAAATTACTCTTTCAAATAATTAAGTATGTACATACGTATTGTATGCATTGTGATAAAAAACAATGAGCTTAACAAAACACTTTTTATGTATTTGAATAGAATTTTTTAACAATAAATGTCTTATGTTTACAAAAGTTTTAATCGACGAGTCGACTATCATACATAAAAACACTGGCTTGTGTATAAATATTGTAGCTAAAATTTTTTTTTTTTGTTTTGTTGATTTGGCATCAATAAAATTATATTCATTAATTATTAGCTTACCCTTCAATTCTTTGCCTTCAGGACTGCATTTTCCTTTATCAAGGATACAGTTGGCATAAGCTTGTAAGAGTCTCTTGTTATCTAAAATCTCTTGCAAGTTGATGTTGTCATATTTGTCCGTATACTTTTCATCTCCTAGCACGCAAACTAGCACGCAGCATAACACTACGCACGACTTAAGAATCATCTGGAATTATTGATAATATCAGTAATAAGGTCAACTATATAATAGGTTTGATAATTCAATCTATACTAATAATAATAATAATGTCTATATGTAGTTATATTGTTTGAGTACCCACCGTCGCTGTTTCACAGTATTGTGATGCTGCAACGTTAGGTGACTTATGATACAACACTTACTGGAGCTGCTTATTTATACTTGTTCCTTTGGAGCTTCAAACATTTAATTTGCCAGTTGTGAATCACTCTTCATTGACGATGCATAAAAAATCTTATGCAGACGGAACGTTTTTAATTACTCCATTAAAATATTAATATTTTCATCATAAATTAAAAACTTGCATATTTAAAATAAATAAAATAAAACTTTGATATTCTCTATGCTATTACAAGATTCAGAATATTGTTTTCGTGTTTATTTTAATACTAATCATAGTTTCTGGTTTTTTCTGAGAATGTGTTATTGTTTTAGGGTCAATGTTAATCTGTTTAACAAATTTACAATCTTATTCACATAAAAATATCAAATTATTAGTACATGAGTATACTTGTGCTTAACAAGCTCATAATCTTTTTACATTAAAATATCATATCATACATGAGTATGTATATATATATATTTTTTCTGCAATGTGTCTTTAAAATTATTGTTAAAAGTTAAAAGGCTTATGTATCCATAGAATATGATAATTACATTTTCGGCTTTTGGATAAGAGAAAGATTGTTTTAGAATAAAAGTTATTTTTAAATAACATATAATTAATTTTATTATGAACCTCATCTGCTCAGATAATTACATTAATGTATTCAGTCTATATTCATGTTATACATTATTGGCATGTTTTTGTCACGGTTACTTAGATCTTTATTAGATTGTATGGAAATCGATGTCCTTTGCGTTCTTAGAATTTATTAATAACGCTTTATGCTAAAACTTGTTTATATGAAAAATGACGTCAAAAGTAGACGATATCGTCCGCTATATTTTTATACACATAATTGTCTTCATTTTTTGTGGATTTACGTCTTTTGTGTGGAAGCATTAGATTGCTGTTCATTTTAAAACGAATTCGGTTATTAAAAACAAAATCATTAAACTTTAAATGGTTAAAATTTAAACTAATTTGTTGTTATTTATTATGTTTTGTGTCTAAATATACGTTTTTTGTTTTGATATTATCATTTATTATGGAAGATTACTACAAGTTCATAATATATAAGGCTCAAGTTCAGGTGATGATTTATTTAAAAATATGTGTATGTATTACTTACTTTCCATTTTTGTTCACCTATTTCTTATGTTATGCGACTACATAACTTTTTTGTATGTAAGACTCTTAAAAAATTTCCTATTATTTCATGACAATACTATATGTCTTTTATATACGTGTTTTGAATTAAAGTTATATCAAAGGTATGTTTTTTTAAATATATATTTATTTACTTAGATGCATCTGATAACTTTTAACAAGTTATAAGTCAATATTTTCTTAGTGTCAAGGAAAAATAATAATCAATTTGAAGATTCATTTGTAAATATTTAAGTATCTGAAGTTGAACTACGAGTTATTGATAAACATAAATTTATAACTGAATTACATCAAATATAAAACCTTAGTCATGTAATAAAACTTTCTAATTTATTACGGATAAATGAAAGAAAAATCTATAGTGACTAGTGTACTAAGAAAAATATTGTTTACGAAAAGTATAAAAGGCAAAACTGTATTTATTTTGCGGTTATTTCCCCGTCATTAATAAATTATTAATGTAGAACGGTTTAAAACTTTATATGTAGATCACATATAAAGAACATTTTCTGGGAATACCTACAACTATAAAATCTACTTAGTCTCGGGTATTTATAAAAAGGTAATATGCACTCGGATCTTAATCATCAAGTATTGTTTCAGATTTTCTAATTTTATAATAAATATAAAATTCATTATAAAAATTATACTAATTGTATTTATATGATTGAAATAGATGAATTGTATTACTTAAAATTTATTTTTTACTTTCAAGGAGAAAAATATCATATAACGAAGGATATATCCATATTCTTGTATTTAAATATATACAAGGCGAGCAAGGAAGAAGGACTTATAATTTTTTTTCGAAATGTATTTATTTATGTCTTAAATATAAACATATAGGATTGCACATTGCACAGATAGTTCAGTCACCATCGAATCCCTTCTCAAAGTGCCCATTGTTTCAAGATAATGGAAACATCCCAAGCAACAATTAACTATGCTATTGTCTCTACGTGCTATGTTAAAGCTACGGACGTAATAATGACAGTGCGACCTTGGTCGACGCACTAGATCAAGTGCCTATAACTCATGTTGATATAAATAAACAATTACTTATACGAGATTATCTTTTCCTTATTATTCAAAGTTTTTGTAAAGCCAATATTAATTATAACATTTGCGATACATTATTGAAGAGGTCGACCTATAAGCACTATACATATATGTTTAGTTAAAAGGTATATTTATATGGGTAAACTTTTTTCTTTCAAATATAAATAGATGCGATTGATTGTTTTTTTTTCATTGGATCCACAATCCTATATTTTGTTAGTGAAAACAAGTTTATACTATCATATCAATATTACATATATGAAACCGATACTAAAATCATTTAGCTTTGTTGAACTCTTAGTCGATTATTAAATGGGCAGTTATTGTTATTTCTAAAAATAAATATTTAATTAATCTAAGCGCACGGTAGTGCGCCGGCCAAGTTCCACAGGCCGGCGCATGCCATGCACTATATTTACACGAACCGTTTCGACCCACTTTTGACCCCCCTGTAGCTCAGTGCCTATTGCAAGCACAGAGATAAAATTGTACGTACGTAATCATATACTAGTACTAAAGCAGTATGCCAAATTTCATAGATAAAGCTTCAGTAGATCCTGAAATATGACCCTGTGAAAATAGCTAATTTTGGCACTGACTCACTGACAGGTAATCAAAACCTCTAGGCCACTTCCCATTGTTTTAGCATTATGAAATTTGGTACACAGGTTGTGTGTTATATGTAGATTAACAAAAAATTAAGAAATTTAAGAAATCGGTCAAGCGTGAGTTGCCTCAATTCTAAATATCGAATTTTTAATAAATTCGACCCACTTTTGACCCCCTGCAGCTCAGTGTCTATTGCAAGTACAGAGATAAAATTGTACCTACGTAATCATATACTAGTCCTAAAGCAGTATGCCAAATTTCATAGATAAAGCTTCAGTAGATCCTGAAATATGACCCTGTGAAAATAGCTAATTTTGGCACTGACTCGCTGACAGGTAATCAAAACCTTTATATAGGCGCTCAGCTCAGCACAATAAAATACATAATAATGAAATATTAATAATTATTAATACGAGTACATCTATCAATCGGTGATAAATGAAACTAAAAAATAAAAAATAAATATAGTTTAAAAAAAAACTAAAAAACACGCTCCAATGATGAAAGAAACCGCGTGGAAACTAATTTAACCTTTACAACCTTGGAAATCAATTTAATTTAAATTGTTTAAAATAAACAATAAATGGTATTATTGAAAAAAAGCGTGGGGCGCTTCTCAAGAAGTGATATATGAAGCTCCCTTCGCTTTTTTTCACAAAAATACCATTTATTGTTTGTTAATTTATTTTTCAATTAATATTATTGTGAAAAAAGTGTGGGGCCCTTCTTAAGAACTGATATATATAAGGGATATAAAATATTGTCATGTATACATAATGCACACTGTATAACTTAATTAAATATTGCTTACTTAAAAAATCAGGTTTCTATTGTTATAAATTACTTTCGATAGATGGCGCTAGCGGTATAATTGAATCGCGATATTGTTTTGTCTGCAGTATATATGACTGAAAGTCGATAAGGAATCGATGGTCATTTCTTTCTATTTCTTTCTACACTTACGTCTTGATATCTTATACAGGGTGACTGGTGAATTACTATCAAAATTTAAGGAGAATACTCGGTACATGATTCTCATTCGAATTATGTAAAAAAAATAGGCACTTAATTTTTGACAAAATTTCCGTATAAATAAATAAAGTGTTGACACGTTCCAAGTGTTCCAAGTGTGGACGCGTGCGGCGGCGTGCTGATACAACACGCCGCCGCCGCGTATGTGTGAGTGTGTGTGTATACCTAATCTGTAGGGTGTTCACACGATGCGTAATTAATTACATAACTTTTGGTCAACTTTACTTAGAAGTTTATTAATATTTATGTTATATTAATTTTTATTTTGTCATATATGATCGTCAAATATATCGTCCTCAAGTATCGATAGTAATTCACCAGTCAACCTGTATATGGTTACGATTACGATTAAATGGATCACTGATTTGACTTGCTAAAGGATTAATTTTGATATTGCTTATTGATTGATTACTTGTGTGTGTTAAAACACAAATTCACTCTATTTCTTTTCTACTATTCATTTACCAACGATGGAAATTGTACATCTTTCGGTGGTTGGCGGAGATATACCACATAGGGTAATTCCTATGCCATCAGATGGTAGCTGTATGTTTCATGCTGTAAGTTATGCATTGTACGGCTGTATAGTACGATTGTATGTACGATTTCTTGAAAAAAAGTATTGAAATCTCACCAAAAACATGTCTGTTAAAAAGGGGGCCAAGTTCCAATCGGCTAATTGTTTGCCTAAAAAAGGGTTGAAATCCAATCTAATGCCAAGTTTAGATGCACTTTGAAATCGATCATAATCATCTTCATCAACAGAATTATCCACTGGTAAACATTTGCCATTCCCAAGACTCGCCACCACACCCAGTCCTCCGCCTTCCACATCCAGCCACTACCCACCACCTTATTCACGTCAACGGTCCATCTGGCCGAAATTCACTTTACCATACACCCAACTTAAAATATGGTATAGTTGTGAAAATACGTAGGTGCTTGGTTAAAATATCTAAAATTATAATACTTCTAAATTTGAACTTGGCAGGTT